CTTGATGGACATCTCTGCCTTTAGAGAGAGGCGGAGAGGTTGGCCTGGGAGCAGAGACACGCTTCATCCAACTGTAGGAACCATTGCTCAGTCATTGTACTGTTCTGAGCCTCAGCTCCTCATCTGTTAAGTGCAGAGGATTAAATGGGATAGTGGATGAGGCCTGTGTAGCATCATTTCTGGTAAACAGCAGGCTTTGAAGGTTTGTTTCCTTTGCATTCTCCCCAGGGAGAATCGAGCAACCCTGGTCTGCTCACACCTATGTCTATGCACAGGCATGTTAGTCAGGTGCACAGCATGAATTACACCCATCCCTCCATTTCTGTGTCTGTCTCTCCATTCAATGGACGTTTCCTGAGAGCAGGGGCAGGGGCTGTATCTCCCGCAGACTAGAGAGGAAGTGGTAGGCCAAGGCCCTCGCCAGTACACTGGCCCTAGGAGCCCCGGCAGCCAGCACTTGCCCTGAGTCGGACTTGATGAAGGTGGTCAATGGGAGTCATGGTTTAGGGAGGAAGAACTAGGCCCTGTTTTATACTCTGGACCAGACCAACCCATCTGGAGCTTGGAGCAGTGGGACAGCCTCCTGGCAAATAGTCCACTGTATGGAGAACAGATGAAGGTAGAAAGGACCCAGCTGGGGCTGCTCCGGGGGCTCAGCAGGACCCCAGGGAGGCAGGGAAATTTGAGCAACTAACTGCTCTTGGCAAAAATGTCTCTTCTAGGACCAGATATTTGCCCAGTCCCTGCCCCCACAAACAAACATATACACTCACACACTTATAGACACACTCATCTACACACAAACACACACTCATGCATATAAACACACATGCACACACATGACTCCATAGGCATCTACATGGCCTCTGCAACCACTTTCAGAACAGTAACACTCCTCAAGGTGGAATAAGGTGAAAATAAACTTCAACACCAGCACCAGCCTGGAAGGAGAGCTCTCTGTTCCCTGGACCGGTGAGGGTCATCCCAAGAGCATTTCGGCTGGATCTGAGCTAAGGAAAACTGACCCTTCCTCCAAAAACCCAGAACTGACCACAATAAATAACTGGTTCACAGTTGGAAGATGCCTGAGGTCACCTGATACAACCTGTCACACATGCATTCTCCAAGGCCCCTCCAGCTCAGACACGCTGGTGCCTTCTGTTGCAAAGAATCAACTACAACGAATGTGATTTCCCAAACCGCGAGCCCCAGGAGGGGGCATTCTGCCAGCTGGAAGAGAGGACACTGCGCATCTCCTCTTCCCACCCGGGGAGCTGTGCCTGCCTTTGCTCCTCTTACTGCACCAAGAACAGTTCTCCAAGGCCCCTCCAGCTCAGACACGCTGCTGCCGTCTGTTGCAAAGAATCAACTACAACGAATGTGATTTTCCAAACCTCGAGCCCCCAGGAGGGGGCATTCTGCCGGCTGGAAGAGAGGACACTGCGCATCTCCTCTTCCCACCCGGGGAGCTGTGCCTGCCTTTGCTCCTCTTACTGCACCAAGAACAGGCCTGGGACTGGCCTTCCACAGTGAGCAGAGCAAGAATCAGCACTAGGACTGGAAGTGGGACCAGCCATCCCACAGGCCAAGAGGGAAGCCAGAGGAAGACGTAAGAAGGCCAAACAGGCACATTGGACAGACCAGCACCAACGCCCACAGAGGAAGAACCAGACTTCTGGTCCTTTCGTGGTCCCATCTCCCTTCCTTGTCTTGCTCCCTCCGGAGCAGCATACGGGCACAAAAGGCGAATGAGGGGCAAAGGTCAGGTTCAGGAGGCCATGGAGGAGGATGGTGAGGATTCTGGGCCCATGGGGAGGTGACTAGTGCAGGTGCAGATTGAGATGGCATCGCTGACAGTGCCCGGGCAGAGGAGGAGGCCTACGGGGAGGGATCTGAGGTTAGCAGCTGCAGAGTATGGGGCCACTGCCTCACCCAGAAACAGCCTAGGCATGGCTCCCCAAGATGGGAGGGCACACAAGGCCTCCTGGCCCACATCACATTCCCAGGGCCATCTGGTGTCATCTCATACTGCCAACTAAAAGCTGTTCCCAAAGCTCCCTCCACCTGCCAGGGCAGTGAACGCGGCCCTCCCACAGCTAAACAACAGTCCACATAGGCTGCCTCACTCCAAGAGAAAGACATACCTGCTAGCTTTTGCCTCTGCAAGAGGAAGAGCCAGGGCCTCTTCGGGCTGGGGCAGGGCTGGAGCCAAGGCCTCTGTAGGTGTCATGGGATGTGATCTCATCCTCATTACATCGGACGGGGGCCGGACAGTTACCCTCACTCATCATGTGGACCTATGAGGTCATTCACACAGACACCGAGGGAATCTCTCTGATATACATGCATGTCTGGCCCTCAAATGGGGTAACCAGAGGGCAGAGAATGAGGCCTCTGAGCCCTTAAAATGTTGGGGCTCTTCCACCTTCTGTCCAACTCACACACACCTCAGCTTCATGCTCCTCCCTCCTTCCCACACCCTAACTTTGCCCGGTGACTGAAGGCTCTCACACAGTCTCCCCCCAAAGCTCTCATTATGTTGTGAATCAGAGGGCGGGGGTCAGATCTGGCAGATACAACCCCTAGAAACCCATAAGACAGTGACTGAAGGCTCTCACATACGGTCTCCCCCAAAAGCTCTCATTATGTTGTGAATCAGAGGGCGGGGGGCAGATCTGGCAGATACAACCCCTAGAAACCCATAAGACCGGTGTGACTTCCGGGAGCAGGGTCTGCTGCCCTGGGACTCACTGTCATGGGCTGGGGAGAGGCAGATTCCTGTCATGTGAGGTCAGCAGCAGAGTTCAAGGCCACGGGTGCCCATGTGAGGATGCTTGGGTAGCTCTCCATGAGCGGGGGTGGGGGAGGGGGAGAACTTCCCCAGCCCCAGAAAATGACACAGTGCCTGCTATGGAGAAGGAAGAGTGAGGTCTCAGGGTCTCAGGTGGGCTCGAGGAACAGAAAAGGAAGGAGGAGAGGGTAGTCTTTCAGGGGTGGGGGAGTGGGGGGGGACTTCCCCAGCCCCAGAAAATGACACAGTGCCTGCGCTATGGAGAAGGCAGAGTGAGGTCTCAGGGTCTCAGGTGGGCTCGAGGAACAGAAAAGGAAGGAGGAGAGGGTAGTTTTTCAGAGGCAGGAGTCCCTCCATCTGTCTTTCAAGACTGAGCCCCCCCAGAGCATGGCTAAGTTAGCATTGTAAATTGATCTATTTTGGGCTGGAAGAAAGGTGCATTTTGGGAAATCCATGAGGAATCAGGACACTTCTCAAAATGAGCCCCAGAAATGAGTATTTGTCTTCATATTGTTCTAACAGTTCTATTTTTATTTGGTTGTAAAGAAGAGAGTTTAAATAAATAATGTCCATAAAATAAGCTATATACCAATTATTAAAAAGCAATCACAATTGTTTTTCACGCACACACACACACACACACATCACTCTATATTCTTTGATAGTAGTTATCTCCAGGAGGTGAGATTCATGGTCCATTCCTTCCTTCCTTCACTTAACAGTTGTAGAGCACTGAGTCCATGTGGTGCTTATGATGGGTGCTGGGGACATGGTGGAACACACTCCAAGCTAAGCAACCCCTGCCTTATAAAGCTTATTATCCAGTGGGAGAGACAGGAAATAGATAAGTGACCAAAGGCACACAAAGGGCCACAATTGTTGTTAGTGACATGAAGTGAACCGGAAGGTCACCCTGTAGATGGGTTGTCAGGGAAGGCTCTGGCAGCCACAACCTTCCCGCTGATGATGAGGCACAAAGAGCCAGGGGCCTGGGAGAAGCAAGCCCCGAGCGGGGAGCGCTGGGAATTGAGGGCCCTCAGCAAGGTTCTCTAACACCACAGCAATGAGTTTGGGCTTTATTTCGGATATGCTGAGTCACCACCAATATTGGGGAGGGACAAGCTGCAGTCCCCACACTGAAACATTACTTAAGCTCTTTTTAGGGAATGGTTTGGGAAAAGCAATGGATGATTTGGTTTCATCTTCATACCTTTGTGCATTTCCCAAAGAAGTCTAGAAAGTGGTTGTTTTAGCATCATAAAAAGCAATCCTTATTTTATATATTATATGTTGAATGCCTGTTTTCTTGCCTGGAGTGGCCCATCTTTTGGAATTTCTATGAGTTTTTATTCTTGGGAGCTTCTGAACTACAGCCTTGGATATTAGGCATGGGCAATCCAAGGCACATAGCGGGAGACTCCTATAAGCCTTCCATTTGTCCCTATTGGGCCTAAAAGAGCAGGGTTTATTTCCTGACAGCATAGAGCAGGGGTCCTCAAACTACGGCCCGTGGGCCACATGCGGCCCGCCAAAAACATTTGTTTTTTTACTTCAAAATAAGATATGTGCAGTGTGCATAGGAATTTGTTCATAGTTTTTTTTTAAACTATAGTCTGGCCCTCCAACGGTCTGAGGGACAGTGAACTGGCCCCCTGTTTAAAAAGTTTGAGGACCCCTGACATAGAGCTATAGATAGGTCCTAAGAATACGTGGCTGTGGGCTAATGGCCAAGAGAGCCCTCACAAGTTCCATCTTTTTATGAGAAGTGATTTAACCACCTTTTTACCACATACCCTGTGTGGACATTCCAGAGAGAAACATAATTTTCCATTTCTTGCCCTTGGAAATGAATCTCTGCCTAGTAATGGGGATAGACCCAATCTACAGGTGGAGAAATTGAGATTCAGAGATGCTTGGCTGAAACAATAGGAAAAGGGAACTTGGTTCCTGAGCTGCCTCCCTCACCTCCCTGTGCCCAGGTCATGAGTGGGGCAGTGGTGCTTGAACCCCCAGAGCCCTCTGGCCAGGCAGGAGCTATGTCTGTCTGTGAAAAGGGACCCTGAGGGGTTTTTTACTTCAGGTGCCTGTGATGTGTCAGGGAGGGGCTGGAGGAAGTGGTGGAACCAGTCCATCTCCTTCAACCTGGGAAGACGGCCAGTGTGGGACCAGTATAAAGGGTGCCCTGGCCCCTGCTAAGCTCAGCTCAGCATTCCACTAGAAGCCCGTCAGGCCATCCTTCCTGTGGGCCTGGTAAGTGTGAGCCATCCCCCAGGGATGGAACTGGGGGCCTCCAGCAGGCAGAGCATGGCTGGGGGGCCAGCCAAGGTGGGTGCAGGCATCCTCATGGACTGCATTCAGCTGCAGTACCTGTGCTTCTAGAAGGTCTCCGGTCACTGTGCTGAGGGATAGGTGTCATGGGATGGAAACAGAAAAGATGACAATCTCCTCCTGTCGCCGCTTTCCTTGGGGCCATGTTTTGGAATGTGTGTGTGTGTGGTGTATGTGAGAAAGAGTAAGAGTGAGACAGAGGGTGGGGGCAGTGAGATGGGGATGCAGCATGAATATGGCCAAATTCTTTCCTCAAATTCTTTGATTTAGGTTGACTGTGATTTTGCCTCTCTTATGGGGGCAGAGGCTTCAGGGAAATGCTTGTAAGTCTTGGCTCTGTGGCAAAAGGGGAAACTTCAGAATGGAGAAAACTTTCTATTTGGAGAAACCCAGGCAGAGCAGGGGCAGGAAAACCGGAACCGAACTTACAAGTGGAGATTTGGAAGCGCCAGCTCCATTCTCAGCAACGTTGCTGCCCCTCCCACCACCCCTCACCTGAGCACTGGGGCTGCAGGGAAAGCTCAGAGCTCATGACGAAAGTAGCTCTGTAGTTGATAGGCCAACCTGCTCATTTTAAAGAGGAGACAGCTGGGGCCCAGAAGGGCTAAGTGTTTGGCCCAGGAGCACACAGTGTTTCAGTGAGATATTTAAACCAAGAATATGTTGGGAGACTCCAATCCAGGGCTTACGCCATGACCTCTCACCTCCTCTCCATCATGGGCTAATGGCTTCCAGGACTTTCCTAGGACCTTATCTCTTTCTGCTATGACCCCAAACTCTTTCCTCCTTGGAGGTCAGAAATGAGGAGAGGCAAGGATGAGTCGCCAGCAGGAGGCAGAGTGGCGCCCAACCCACCCTTGCGGAGCAGCTCTGGAGACAGAACTCTTGCAGGAAAGGAGGCTCCCAGGAGGGCCTCTCCCTGCCTTTCCCCATCACTACCCTCCCTCTGCTGCTTCTGGGGAATGACAGCTGGAGGTGGTGGGAGAGGCCCGGCCCCAGGGATGAGAGGGGCTGCTGAGGAACCAGGCACTGATTGCTTGGGAATTCCTCTACTTCCTCTCTTCAGCCACCCCTCTGACCCCTTCTGTTTTTCAGGTTGACCTGAAGCAGCTTCCAAGATGTCCCAGCAGCAACACACTCTGCCAGTGACCCTGCCCCCAGCCCTCAGCCAGGAGACCCTCAAGCCTGTTCCTCCTCCCGCTGATACCCAGCAGGAGCAGGTGAAGCAGCCAACTCCACTGCCTGTCCCATGCCAGGAGGTGCCCTCTGAGCTCCCAAGGGAGGTCCCCGTGGAGCAAGGAGAGAAAAACACAACTCCTGTGAAGGGGGTGCCGGAGCAAGACTGTGAGGCCCAGCATCTGGAACAGCAGCAGGAGGAGCAACAGGAGCAGAAAGGGCAGCAGCAGCAAGAGGAACAGTGTGAGGACCAGGAAGCAGAAAACTTGGAGCAGCAGCTGGAGGAGACTAAATCACAAAGGGGGCAACAGCTAAAGGAGCAGCTGGGACAGGAGAAGAAGCTCCTGGACCAGCAACTGGATGGAGAGCTAGCAAAGAGAGATGAGCAACTGGAGAAGAAAGGAGAGCAGCTGCTGGAGCACCCGGGACAGCAGGAGAAGCAGCCAGAGCCAGCAGAGCAGCTGGATGGGCAGCTTGAGCAACCTGCATGTGTCCCAGCTCCTGGCCAGGCCCAAGAGACCCACCCAGTCCAGCCACTGAAGGGAGAAGTCTTGCCCCCTTCAGAGGAGCAACAGCAGAAGCAGGAGGTGCAGTGGCCTCTCAAGCATAAGTAACCACCCCCAGATCCCAGAGGCCCTCAGGCCACCGTACATAAGCGGAGAGCTGAACCAGTGGCCTCACTTACCTCAGGTCCCCCAGTCTGGATGGCCCACCTCATCTGTGAACCTGCCTGACCCTGTCCTTCTGCTTGTCTCTGTGATAGAGTGGGATGGGGGAGGGGGAAGCTATTGCCCAGCACCTACTCCTGATGACTCCAGTCCCACCCCATCCCAACCTCAGGTGGCCAGAGCCTCTGCCTGAGGACAGTTACTATAGCCACTCTGACGCCATCCCCAGTATTATAGCAGAATCTGTGAGTGTGTACAATGATACAGAATAAATCCTGAAGTCTGGGATCCTGTATTCTCTTTGGCTTTTGTTTCTCTGCCTCTCACCATATTAAAAACCCATGTATGGGTCAATGGTTGCAACTGACTCTCTTGGCCAACTCCCAAAGGAAGACAGATATCTTGACCCTCCTCTAACTTTGTTCCCCAAACCACCCAAAACTTTGAATATCTTCTAAAATGAAACCAAAAGAACACCAAAACAAAGGAACACTTGCCAGTTTTGAAGGGGGGATAAGTTTTTCTGGTTGGGGGAAGAGGATCTGGCTGTCTCAGCCCAGCACTGCCTTATACACATGGAGCACAATTTTAGCCCAAGGGGGTGGGCAGGAAGTAGAGTTCCCTCTGGGTTCTGGTCCCTTCCTGGATTTTCTCTCTGTAGAATGTCCTCATGTTTTCCAAGAGTCTTATGCACTGCCTACTTGGTTAAAGAAGATTCTAGAACACTATTAGAAGCAGAATTGGGCAAGGTGAGGAGAGGAGAAACTCCTGGGACCAGTCTTTGATGGGGAGTATGACAGTGTCACTAAAGGAAGTAAAGGCTAGGCCAGCTGAAATCATGGAAGCTAAAATGCTGAATCAGCTGGAAAAATACAAATGCAAGGTCATTGTATCCTTTACCCTCCCTGACATTTCTGTAGTCTTTACCACCATCAATCATTTCAGGACGTGGAGCTCTCTCTTTCCTGGGGATCACCAGCCTTTAACTATTTAACCACATCATCTCAGGCAGTTTTTCTCATTACCCATAGGCATGAGGATAGGTCAGGGACATCCTTACAGATACTTCCATAGGCACCCAAACTCAATAGGTCTGAATGGCATTTAGCACGCCCCCCCTCCCCACCCAACTCCAGCAACATTCACTATCTTTCCTCCTTAGGTATTCTCTCTCTTGAGGAACGATATTACCACTTGTGCTTTCACCTAAACCAGAGATACCAACATCATTCCTCACCCCTCTTCTCTTCTTCCCTACTCCCCACCAACGATCAAGTCCTGGCTCTCCCTACACACACCTCCCAAGCCTGGACTGAGATCATTTCTTACCAGAGCTTTTGCAAAGGCCTTCAAGCTAGTTTTCTTTATCCTCTGTCCATCCACCCATCACATAGAGGACAGAGTGTTCTGCTTAAAATTCTGATCTAACAGCACCACTCAGTGGCTCTCATTACTTAAGGGACAAGAGTTAAAAGAAAGTCTGGGTAGAATGGGGCGGGGGGGAGGGCAGGAGCTTGGGAGCAGAGGGAGAAGTGGTTAGAAACACCTGGAATATATGAAAAATTATTTTGAAGTCTTAGGTTTTGATTTTTTAATGGACCTTATAGTTTACAACAGTTTGGGATTTACAGAAAAGTCAAGGAGAGAGTATAGAGTTCCCATATACTCCACACCTAGTTTCCCTTATTAACATCTTGCATTAGTGTGGTACATTCATTATATTGATTAACAAAATAATATTGATACCTTATTGTTAACTAAATACATGGTTGCCCGGCCAGCATGGCTAGGTGGTTGAGTGTTGACCTATGAACCAGGAGGTCATGGTTCAATTCCCAGTCAGGGCATATGCCCAGGTTGTGGGCTCGGTCCCCAGTGTGGAGCATGCAGGAGGCAGCCAATCAATGATTCTCTCCCATCATGGATGTTTCTATTTCTCTCTCCCTCTCCCTTCCTCTCTGAAATCAATAAAAATATATTAAAAATAAATAAAAGTACGTGGTTTATTCTGATTCCCTTGGTTGGTTTTTACCTAATGCCTCTTTCTGTTCCAGGATTCCCTCAGTCACACTGTAGTTGTCTTACCTCCCTAGGTTCCTCTTGACCCTGAGAGCTTCTCAGACTCTCCTTGTTTTTGGTGACCTCGACAGTTCTGAGGGGACCTGGTCAGTATTTTTTAGACTGTTCCTAAATTGGGTGTGTCTGATGTTTTTTTTCATGTTTAGACTGGAGTTATGGGGTTTTAGGAGGAAGAATACAGAGGTAAAGTACCATTTCAAAACATTATATAAAGAGTACATCCTACTGACATTTATCAACTTGAGCACCTGGCTGAGGTAGTGTAAGTCGGGTGCACAGGACAATAAACATGCCCTACCTCAGCCCAGACTACAAGGAACAACCACTATTTGGCTTCTCAGTAATGCTGCTGCCCCTTCACCAGGACACTCCTTATAACTTTAGTGAAAGGACAGTCTTCTGGGCTTTCAGAAGAACAGATTCAGTTGATGGGCTTGGTGGATATAAAAGAGCTTCATTCAAGTAAACCCACCTCTCAAACTCTATCCTATTATTAGCACTCTGCTAAAGTTCTGCATCTCTACCTCATTTAATGTGGGCCATTATTTTTTCCAAGTTCCAAAAGGCGACTCAGCCACAACAACAATAATAATAACAATAAACAAATGAAATGGCCTGACCAGGCGAGGCGCCATTTTGGAGGCTAAAAGGATGCATGCTACAGTTGACACCGGTGGCACTGAACCCAACTCCGCTACTTACATTCTGGCTGACCTTGGGCAAGTTGCATAATCTCTCTGATCTCTTTCTTCATGGTTTTCTGAAATTACTCAGGCTGTTATGACTAAAATGCCATAGACGGAGTGGCTTAAACATTTATTTCTCACAGTTCCGGAGGCTGGGAAGTCCAAGATCAGGTGCTGGAAGATTTGTTGTCTGGTAAGAGCCTATTCCTGGTTCACACACCACTGTTCTCACTGTGTCCTCACATGGAAGAAGAGAGAAGGGAGATCTCCTACATAAGGACACTAATCCCATTCATGAGAGCTCCACCCTCATAACCTAATCACCCAAAGGTCCAACCTTCTCACATTGGGTATTAGGATCTCAACATAGAAATCTGGGGGCAGGGGAAGGGGAAATATAAACAGGTAGTCCATGTCAGTGGTTAAAAGGCAGGCAGACATACTGACCTTTCTCTTAACATTGGTTTGGTTATGATATAATATTTGCAAAGTACTTGGCATGGGTTCTAGCTTATAGAAAGGGCTCAGCAAATGAAAGGAGTGATTCACAGAGCCCCTTTGGGATTTCAAAAGCCCCCTTTATTTTTGTTGCTTCTTTTTATTCACTGCCCTAATTGGCCCCTTAAAATAGGCTTGATTTATTTCTTATATGCCAGGCATTGTTCAAAGCATTTTGCATTTTTTTTTAACCCATTCAATCCTAAAAACATGGAACATAGTATAGAGTATATAGTCAGTACACTGGCTGATTTTGATTAGCTAAAGCAAACTGCTGGGGAGTGAGGAAACCTTCTCAAAAGGACTACAATGATTAGCTTTTGGCTTATGTGTTTTTTGAAATTTTCCTAGCATGAAGGAATGAGAATACAATTCAAGCAAGAGGAATCTACAGTGGGTGTCTTACCAACTCTACAGGCTAGCCAAGAGAAAGAGCATCCAAGATGGCCTGCCACTCTTCCAAAGTGTGCTCTCTTGCTGCTCTCTAGTGTCATGATTCGGAAGTGCAAGACTAGAAGAGATGGGCTCCATCCAAGGAAGTCGGAAAAAGAAGAGCTTGGGTGTCCAGGTTCCATGTGAGACACTGCCAAGGAATGGTGATGAGTAGGGTAGTGTGCAGAGATATGAGACAATGCACATGTGACTCTAATAACAATAACCATCCCCACTTATTGAGTCTTGGCCATACGTCAGTCACAGTGTCAAAGGCTTTGCATGCATGATCTCATCTTCCTGGCTCAACAACGCCATGATGTAAGTGCAGTTATCCTCCTTACCTTAGAGACAAGCAGACTGAGATTCAGAGAGGAAAGGTCATGTTCCCAAGGTCATTCAACTGGATTGAACCCAGATTATGTCTGAATCCAGAACCTATGCCCCTGCAAATGCTGTGGGGACTCCGCGATGGGAAATCTCACAGGAGGTCAAGGACTCTTAGAGTGCCTTCTTGAAGAAGATGACATATGATCCAGGCTTTGAAGGCGAGGTCCAAGGGATGGATACCTCAAGAATATGGAGCAGGGTTCCAGTGGGAACAATCTGGATGAAGGAATAGATGAGGAAATGGTGTGGGTGTGAACGGAGGGAGTGACTCAGTTTGGCTGGAGTGTGGGAAGGGGAGCGATAAAATGGAAATACAGCTGGCTTTGATACCATGTTCTGTGTTCTTCCCACCATGTTCTTCCATAAACCCACTGCTCCTGGCATGAGGTGGCTAAAAATGAAATAAGAAGTGTGATTTTTTCAACCCACATGGAAAGACAGAACCCACCAGCCCCATGTGATTCATACTGAACAGCCTGGGTTCCCCAGAGCAGGCAGGAACACTGGAGAAAGGCCAGATTATTCAGTCCACTTGGCCTAGTCTGAGATGGTACTTCTGCCTGGGAGAAAGAGAGAGGAGAAGATTCTTTCAATAAAAGGCCACTTGGTACAGTGACCTTCTCTGGACCCCAAATGGGGGTGTGCCATCCAAGAAGGTCACGTGTGCTAAGGTGGACAAAGAGCTTACTTTTAAAACTGAGGCACTTTTCTAGAACAGCAGTGACACACAATATACTGCGAAGAGACTTCCACCTGGCATTGGGAAATGTACCACTGCTACCTCACTAAATTTGAAATAAAAATTTAGGTTAAAAATATGCTTTCAGGTTCTGACAAGGATCCAAAATAAGGAAGGGGGTAGGAGGCTCCGCCAGTGCCTTGGCTCAGCCCGCCTTCTGAGAGCAGGCAGAGTGACCTTTCTCGTGCAAAACTCAGATCAAGTCACTACCAGCTCAGACCTTCCACAGCCCGCACCCCATGGAACCCAGCCTCTGCCTCACTCCCTGAGCTCACCTGCTCTAGTCATAGATGCTCACTGAACACAGCAAGAGCAGCCCTGTCTCAGGGCCCTTGCACTTGGTTCTTGCTCTGCCTCTACCCACAGACCTTTGCATGACCATCTT